CACTCATATTTACATAGAGGAGCCTGAGACTTCCCCAGCTTGAGGAAAATTGTTTGGTCACTATTACCTTTGTGTTGAAAATGTAGTGCCAAAGGCACTTTGATAACTCTAAAATGGCTCCTCTGCCTTATGTTTAGCTTGAAGCATTTAGCTTACCGGAGAGTTAAAGGAAGAAAAGAGTCAAAAGTGCAAGAAAATACTCACAAAGGCAATCCTTGGAGCTTTTTACTGCATGGCTGAATTCATGTGAACATTCCCCAGCCTTTCTCTCCCTGCTGTTGGTGGGGATAAAAAATAATTACGAGTGTGTGCATGTTATTCAGGCAGATAAGATTAGATAAGATTGTGTATAGAATGCTTTGCAGGATAAAAGAGGTTGTTAACACAACATTACAAAGGGAAAGTCTTTGACATTTATGTTGAAGGCACATGCACAGACTGTTTGTCTCAGATGGTAACTGAGACTGAGGTACCAGTTTAATTCTTGGTCAAGCTTTATTTGTCAAGAGGTCTAAATCCAGACTGACACTGGTACAGACTAATTCAGACCCAAATCAGGATTAATCTCCTTCAGAGGGATTAATTGCCTACAGTTGGAGTTTACATGGAGTGTTACTTTTTACAGTATTGGGCTTGAATTTTTATTTTTTTTTCAAACGGTTATTTTTTTCCTGGGGATTAATTATTTATAAAATACACCTTTTATAAGAGTTCAAAAAGAGTGCAGTTCACAAGTTCAAAAGCCATCAAACATTTTCTGCCACTGGTCTGATTTAATATGTGAGTTAAATGGTCTATTTGTAACAATGGTCAGAGTTCAGGTTTTCAAATGCTATTTGAAAAGCTTAGAGTTGGCCTGTTTTAACCAGATTTCTCCAATGAGCTTTTAATGTACTTTATTATTGCATTCACTCTGCTCAATGTGCCGGAGTCACTGGTAGCAAAACAGCCCCAGGAAATGATGCTAACCCCATCTTGCTCTGCAGTACAGTTTTCTTGGAGGTACTCATTCAAACTCTGATAATTATGGCAAGATACCTTCATTTTTATCTCATGTGAACATAAAAGTCTTTATGATTGTCCATATGATCACCTACAAACTTTAGACAAGACTGAAGGTGTCGATTTGGGGCCTCTTTCTTCACCCATCTCAGGGGTGGGTGAAAACCTGACTGAGGGTAGAGGGTGCAGGGGAGACCTTTCTGTTTTGTTTTTTGTTTTTTTCAGATATGCATTGATCACACTGGACTATTTCACTATGTTTTTCAGTCCAATGAGTGCTGTAAAAGCCCAGGGAAGATCCCAGCTTCAGTCATGATCACTAAGAGAAAATTAAGAAACGTGACTCTTACAATTGCATGCTGTGCGGTCTCTGAGCCACAGAGAAAGGGGAGTTTGGAGAATTCAATGAAATCCCATTATTGTTAAAA